TAATGCAACACCGCCAGTGTAATTAGAGTAGGCCATGTTTTTTCTGCCTACAAGTATGCGCGTGCATCTTTTTTTGGAAACAAGAATGAAAACATTTGCAAGTCCATCTATAACTCCATGGTATTATTTAACTTTTTTTTTTTTTAATTTATTCATTTTAGGTGCCCCAAGAACTTCCTTATGTTCTTATTGCAGAGCACCGCGGAAGAGCATTTGAAAAAAAGTTCACGCCTCCTTCCTTACCGATGTTACAAATCTTGCCCAAAGGTGGCGTTGAACAACGGACCTCTAGCATCTTTTTTTTTTTTTTTTGCCGTTTAATATTACGATAACTAAATATATTTTACAATTTTTACATTAGTAAAGACAGGACTTCTAGAAGATCATGAGGTTCTTGTCATGAAGCTCTTTACAATATATGGTTAGTTTTTAATTAAAATACAATGTCTGTAGTGAAATAATAATACACCTTTATGCAAAAATATTTAAAAACCAAGATAAAATGTTAATAAGCCAAGATAAAATGTTAAAACAAATTATATACAAAATAAAACAACAACAGCAAAAAAAGCAATTAAAAATAAATCAAGATATTTTTAATTATAAATATAATTTTTTTAAGTTTTTGTTTGAATGAAGCAAAAGTCAGTTGGGTGGAAAAATCAAAATTTGGTAAAACTATTTTGTTCCAGAGATAAGGACCTCCGTAAGAAACAAAAAACTGGTCTTTGTAATGCAAAATTTGTTAAATTTTGTTCTGCAAATAGGTTCATGTACAAAATTTTTATTTCTAAGTAAATATTTATTAATTGGGTTTAGAGAAAAAAGGTCTTTAAAGACAGGTAAAGTTAAATTGTTTTTCCTCATGTAGATAAAGCATAAAACTTTATAAACATTGAGTTCGTAAATATTAAGTATTTTCATCTCCATAAATAATGGTTTGGAATGAGTAAAACGATCCGCAAAATTAATCAATCGGATCGCATGCTTCTGACGGTGAAAAAGGCATTTTAGCTTACTTTTTTCGGTGCTTCCCCACGCTATGTTGGCATAATTAATATAGGTGTGAATAAATGAGTAATAGAGTTGGGTTAAGGCTTTTTTGTTTAAATATGATCTGGATTTATATAAGACTCCGTTACTTTTAGATATAGCATTAGTATTTTCTACCCTGATCCTATACTTTATAAAAAAACTTTTGTTGCCCAATTGATACTTACACCGTAAAAAATATGAGCTAAAATATTTATATGGATGGATGAATGGGTTCAAGTAGAGTAAAATTTGCAACGTCAATGTTTCAATAGGACCTAAAGACAAAAAACAAGTATTTAATGGACTTGCATTACATCTGAAGAGCTGTTATTCTGATATCAAACTTACGCCAAACAAAAAGGAATCTAAGATCTAAAAATAAAGATGCTTTAATCTAAACTAAAAGATATACAGCTTTAATTTTTATCATCCGTTCCAATCTAAAGTTCTAAACTGGGTACAGACCTTTAAAATTGCCTTTAGTTCAAAAATAGGCCAAAAATTTCATAAACCAATGTTTGAATGACAATTTATATGCCGGATTTTTAAGGTCCCACACTCTCGTTGCTTCGAATTACGAAGTGAGAGAAACAACGCAAACGCATTGTCAGAATTACATCACGGGTATATAGAAAAGACGGTTCATTTTATTTTCAAAGACTGGAAACATGTAAAATTCTATATTGCTTGTATGCTATTTGATGAAAGTTATACCGGGAATGCTTGAAAAGTATTTGTAATCTTTTGACTTTGAACTATTGGTGAAGTATTTTAATTTTGTAATTGACACCAATAAATTAGAACAATTTCAGGTGGATTGCTCAGTTGGTTAAAGTGTCAATCAAAATTTTAAGATATAGACTGTTTTGCGGCACGAATTCATATCCGGCAACCACCAACTCAGCGCTTGAGTACGCAGAAATATTAGTCAATAACGGACGCTACTTTGGATTAGTCTTTATGAGTGTTCTTTTTGGGTGTTCCTACGAAGCCAACAATATTTTTTGGATATAAGAACATTGTATAACAAAATATAGCATGAAGTTCAAATAAATTAAGTTGCCCAGAGGTTGTGTTGAACCACGTATCTCCAACTTCTGAGGCAAGCGCGCTAACCACTGCGCTACGGTTGCTTATAGATACACACTCACTATACACAAGGAACCCTGTTTAAAAGTGTATTGGGTTTTAAAAATAACTACTAAGTTTAACACTTTATTTGTTTTAATCTAATGGTCGTCAAACCTGACATTTTTTTGTTCCAAAAATCGATAGGACTTTATTTTAACAAGGGGTAAAAATTAAACTGTTATATTAAAAATATATTCATCAACGTGTTTTAAATATCATTTCTTAGCGTTTTGGAACGATGACCACGCATAGTTTGGAACCTCCCGTAATGTTCAAAACTCAATCATTTAAGAAAAGGTTTTTGAATCTAATGATTTATGTTCAAAACTTTTAAACTTGATTATTCTAAAAAATGGAATTGAATTTAAAACTTGATTTATATAAATTTTATTGTAATCAAGAATTTAATTATTTTATCGTTGCCGAACATCTGGGGTTGAGACAAATATTATTTAGTATTTTTGTTTCCAGACTCCAATCACCGCGATTTTTCAAAGCATCTTTGTTTGACATAAATCAAGAGGCAATAAAGACTTTTTTATTTCCTCCAAATTCCCGAGCAATTAGTGACAGTAATAATGGAGATAATAATTGTCTTTACTTTTTTACGCAAAGGGCCATCCATAAAGGACGTCACCATTTTTAGCCAATTTTTGACCCCTCCCCTCCCTTTGTCACCGGTTGTCCTTTTTCCCTATACCCCTGGAAAAGGACGTCATAAAATTCTGACCCCCGTCCCTATTTTTAACACCAAAAATTCATCTTGCAATGATGTTTGAATCTGCTGTACACCTTTGAAAAATAAAATTAAAAATATTCTCATACATTATCTTCTCAAAAACACATGTTTACGTAGTTTTCCATGTTAATTAAACTAAAATAAAAAATCTATGAAGTGACGTCCTTTTCTGACAACCTCCCCCTCCCCCTCCCCTTGTCCTTTTTAACTCGATCCCCTCCCACCCTATTTGGATGAAGCCCTTTATGGATGGCCCCTAACCTAATACAGAAAACTCACCGTTAACAAATTAATAAAATATATATATTAATATATTTATTTTTAATGTTATGTATATATGTTTTAAATGCTTTGTATATTTGTTTTTAATGTTAAGCATATGCTTATAATGTTATTTATATATGTTTTTAATGTTATGTATATATGTTTAAACCTATTTCGAAAACCATTTATTATACGAGGCTGTCACAGTGATTTAATATTATATATTTTTTGTATTTTTATAAGTCGATAAAATTTTAACAATGACTTGAACTACGGTTTGATGCTTAGTTAACAGCACTTGCTCAAGCGAACCTTTTAGTTTCAAAGACTTTACGTTTGGATTTGTTTCATCTTTCGTATATATGTCACACGACTTTAACCATATCTACAAAAACAAAACAAAAAGCGATAATATATATTTAAACATTTTGTGGTCCAAGATGTGACGATGATTTTTTTTTAAAAAAGAAGGTTAATTTTTTTTTTTTTGAGATTGATCTACATACAATTTTTTTAAATTTTGGCTGTCTTATAAACCTATGGAACAAATAAGGACCTATTTGTTCTTTTCATAACATTATCTAAACCAGCAAAAAGTATATACTATTTACAATATCCAGATAAAATTGATCACTCATAAAACTCTTTAAAGTACTTTCTTTTACCGTTTTGTACATAAATTAAACTTTTTACAAATTTTCAAGTTTTTACAAGTGCCACACTTGAAAAATGGCCTGGCTTCAATCTTTTTCGAACAGACATTGCATCTCGCTCGTCTTCAATTGTGCTCTGACCAATGAATTCCAAGATTTTCTATACGACTTGATGGGGCTACTGAATAGTTTGACTTTCTTTTGTTACTAGTAAGTCTATTGGAAGGAAGTGATCACATTGGTCTGCCAAGATTCTTTAGTGGCTTTCCTTTTACAACCATGGATTGGGCAACTGATCTTCGAAAATGAAATTTTTGGCCATGGATTGCGCAACTTCGAAAGTCAAGAAGACTGATATTTTCATTGAACATTTTTTGTAAACAACATTGCATATTGTCCAACAAGTCCGAAAATGCCACCACCTTTTAGATTTTCTAGAAGTTTCCATGACAACATATAGTTGTCATGGACGAAGCTTATCAGCTTTATCAACACCTCCTATAAAGGTGTTATAATCTTTTACTGCTTTTGGACCACAAATCATTGATACTGCTCCACCTTGTTCTTTCTCTTTATTTGTGATGTATCTGTTCCATGATAATTTGAAATAACTTAAACAGGTTTGTCATTCTCCCATTTAAAAACTACAACTCGATCTTTAGATGTTTGATAATCAAAGTCGCCTGGCTCTAGGGACTTAAGCCTTGTGGCAGGTTCACACTGCCACAAGTACTTTCTTTTTGTACGTTCCACACTTTAGAACCTGACGAGAGAGTAAGTATGTTTTCGTTAGTGGAACAGATGTGAAGATATTATCAATAAAAACTTCATGAAACATTCCTTTCAATGATTTTGTCATTTGATAAATTACATTTACTCCTCAAACAAAATACTTAGGCATAGCAGGATCAATTCTACAATTATCATTTCCTTGATACACTTTGAATTTGTAAACCTATATCTGCTAAGGACCAAAGTTTATAACCTCTTTTTTATTAGTTTCATAGGATCAAATTGCTTTAGCGAGCTCTTTGAAAAGAATCACGCGAACCGAATCAATATTAACCGAACGTAATACACTGTATAATTTACCGAACCGAATCAATATTAACCGAACGTAATACACTGTATAATTTAGTAAACAATTTAAGCTGTAGCATTTTAAAAGGTTTAAAATGCTACAGTTAAAAGATTAAAATCAGTATCTGCGTTATTGTCATTGACGTGGATATTAGATAGCATCTGTAAAAATCTATTCTAAAATAATGCATTTGAAAAAAATGGTACAGGCAAATCTTGTTAGCCAATCCAATGTTTTCATGATGGTAATGCATGCTATTCCATCACCATTTTAATCCCCATAAATGCAAACACGTCAGGTTTTGACAGAAACATTTTTTGTTTCTGATAGATATACAAATTACTTTCTAAGAAGATGGAATCCATTATTTCATCATCAAAATATTTAAAAAAATAACCAGCTGGTTTTTGACAGTCAGCAAAATGCACTTTGACAGATTCTAAAATATAAATGTAAAATAAATTAAAATGTGCCTAATTATTATGAAGAACAACAAAAAAATAAATGTTATTTGGTTAGTGAATGTGAATATATTCTCAATGAGTTTATTCTGAATGAAAAAAAAATAAAAATAAAAAAAAAAGCATCTTCAGGTTAATTAAAGCTTGATACAAATTCAATCTTTTCAATCTTGCTTCACTTTTTATCTCGTTCTACATTATAGTTATTTTTATCTGAAAAATTATTGTCAGAGGTATATCACTTGAGAAATCAGATGACTCATATTCAGAAACATCGACTTCAACTTGCTCGATGAATGATTCATCTTTATAGCGTTGCTCAGCATGCAGCAGTCTATCAAAATTCAGCTCATCATCTGAATAGTCAAAAAAATCACTGTCTCCTCCAGGAGATAGTGATTTATCTTCTAAAATTATTATTGCAGTTGAGGCAGCAGTATAATACTTTCTATGTTACATTTTTTTCTTCTATTTAAGCACAAAATTAAAAAAATCAAAATCAAATACTTGTAATGTATTCTAAATACTAAAAATGTATTGTAAAACTTGTAAATAAATAAAATACATACAAAACAGAGATCTGTTACCGTTATACATACAAAACAGAGTTTGATCTGATTACTGTTAAAGATCTGATTACTGTTAAAGAACACAACTCAAAAAGTTTTGAAGAGTCTGTAATAATTTAATAAAGAATAATAAAGTTTTTTTCTCATATTAAAATCAAAACATGCGCATCCATAGTTTACCTTAATAAAAATTAGTATTTATGCAATTAAAGTGCTATAAATGGTGCTAAATGTTAGTCTAAGATATAGCCAAACAATTACAAAGATATGCAATCGAAATTTTTGTGTTTCTTAACTCCAAGTGAATAGCCATTGCGTCTTAAGTGGACTGGGACATAATGTTCCATCGGACCACAATGGGTTAAATTTAATATAAATCTTTTTCAATTAACTTAAATTTTTTTTGCACCTGAAACAAACTCTTTAGTAAACTTCTAACAACCTACCTATTTTCTAAGATTAGGTGACCTATTTTCATGTACTCTCAAGTGCTTAATACACTGGGAAATTTGGAGGAAGTAACATACAAACCAATTAATAACATGTGCTACTGTTAGTGATCCTTTTGTGTCTTTTTTGTCTTTGAAATGATTTAAATTTAAAAGTTTCTTTCGAAACAGTATGTAGGCAGTTATTAGAAAGCAAATTATTAGCTAGAAGTCCAAGGAAAGTTCTTAGTTTGAAAAAAAGGTACATTGTAGCATGAAAACATTTTGCAAAGGCACATGAAAATTGGCCTGCTTCAAAATGGTGGAACATTTTGTGGTCAGATGAAGGCAAAATTGTTTTAATTAGGCCATGTGAACACAGGGTATATGAAAAAAGGCCACCTAACTCTTTCTACAAACTACAATGCACTAGAAAAACTGTTCAATAAAGCGGATCAAAAATAAATATTTAGTGTTATTTTTCTTATTATGGCGTAAAGGTTTATTTATAAGATTTATGGACCAACATGTCTGCAAATTTTACAAAACACCATATTGCCTTATGCAGAAGAAGATATGCAGATAAAAAATAATAAGGATTGCCTTAATTATTTTTGTTGCTATTTTTATTTTTATTGTCGTTACTTTTATTTTTATTGTTATTTTCTTTTAAAAACAGACTATTTTTGGCTTTCCAACAATCTCTTGAAATTTTCACAAAATAAATCTCATTTTCTGTTTATATATTTCTTTTAAATTAAATTTTGTTATAATGAGGACACATACAAAATTTTGTTATAACGAGGAAACATAAAAAACACATCATCATTGTCATTACTGCTAATGTTTTAAAAAAAAGATGTTCTGTGAAAATTCCTTCTTAATAATAATTCTAATGGTTTTGTAAAGTTTTAAAGCAAGCTGGTAATTAGTTAACATTTGTAAAGAAAAAATACAATAATAGAATTAAAAAAAAACAAACTATTTATTAGAAATCTACCTCATTTTTATCATTTGATATTGAATCGCTATATTTACTTGTCCAAATGAGCTGTACAGGAACCATACGAGGAAAAGGTCGCAGTTTATGAAGCATTCTTAATAATAAATAATCTTTAAATGGTATAAAAAAAAATGCATATATACAAACACTTATAACCTCACTGTGGACCCAGTGGTGGAAAAATAATACTTTTAGAGTTTATAAAAATTTTTACACTCTAAGCAACATAAATTTGCTATTAAATTAAAAAATGATTCTAGCTAATTCTAAACTTCTTAAGTAATAATATGTAATTTGGAAAATAGTAAAATTTCAAATTTTTAATGTACCTATAAAAGCTTAGTAAATTCATATGGTTTTCATTTAAAACGATTTCAAACCAACATAAAAATTAAATCCTTGTAACAAAATTAACTTTTGAATGATACTTTTGATTAATAGTTTTTAGCCAAATTTCAATTCATTAAAAAATGTCAATGAAAAGGCACAAGAGAATTATTTATTATTGATAGAAGCATTTAGCACAACGAGTCATTATGTGTAAAACCAAACTGCTTTAGGAATCATGAAATTTTTTTTGCAGAAAAAACAACAAATTTACTGCAGCAAAAATGGTAAAATTCACCACTTATTACCACAGTTCACTCTTACAATGTTTTACGTGATATTGTCACATGTTTTAAATAATATTTGTATAAAAGAGAACCCAGGTACAATACAAATACAGGATAAAAATACTTATTGTTATATGCCAAATTAAAAAAAAAAAAAAAAAATGAAAGAAGGTAAATAAAAGCACATTATTACTATAATCAATTCAAAACTGTAAACAAATAGACAAACTTTAAAAAAAAGGCATTTCTCGATGATACGCCTGATCTGACAGACAAATAACCATGGGTATTATTCATCTGTCCAGGAAAATTTTGTGTCAATATTGTTGTAAAATGTGATGACAATTTTTTTATAAACTCTTTTTTTAAATTTTTTATAATTTTTTTTTTTTTTTAATTCTGATTCACTCCCAACAAGGCTGCAAGCAACCACTATTAAGTTGGGAGTTACTAGAAAAAAAGAATAGAGTTATAGAGCAAAGAAACGGTTAACAAAAGACTTAAAAAGTTGAAGGTTGTGTTATTCAGGAAAATATGAAGATGGGAGAGAGTTCCAAAGAGTTAAAGTGCAAGGAAAAAAACTAGGCAAATAAAAGTTTTTAGAGCATGCAGGGACAGATACAGTAAAAGAATGAGACTTTGCTGAATGAGAAGTCAAATGAAATTAAGTTTTAGTAATGGAACTAGAGGTGATAACTCCTTTGAGCAGCAACCATGACAGTATTTGTAGAAAAGAGAAAGAGATGCAACTTTATGACAATGGGAAAGAGGTTAGCAGATAGAGTGGGTCCAACTATGTTTACAAAGCGTTTTTAAATCTTGTCTAGAAGAGAAAGAGCATCATTAGAAAAACCAGCCCAAATATGACAACAATATTCCATACAGGGATGAATAAAAGATTTGTAGAGGTAGAAAATGGAATCAGGAGAGAAAATGGCGAGCACTATAAACAGAAGCAACCTTAGTATATGCTAACTTTGCAATCGATTGTATATATATATATTATTTTTATGAAAAGTCAGTAGTAAATGATAACCCAAGAAGACATAAAAAAGAGGACTCAGGAGAGGTTGTCATTAAATAATATAGGAATATCGACAGTACTGCAATAGTTGTTTGCAGTAAATAAATGTTTTTTTGAAGTTAAAATTTACAACCCAGTGTGAGCCCCAATCTGTTACAGAAGGGAGATCAGATTCAAGATCGACTGCCTGTTCTAAGCAATTGAAAAAAGAAGATTTTTTGTCAAGACAGGAGTATAAAGTTGAAAAAAGAAGATTTTTTGTCAAGACAGGAGCATAAAGTTGAGTCATCAGAAAAAGAGCTACTTTAGATCATTAATGTAGAAACAAAACAGGACCAAGAATAGAACCTTATTCAAATAATATACTTTCAAGATTGGTTTGGTCCATTGCAATTTGTGAAGGCGTAATTCGTCTTATGTATATTATTCACCAATGGTATAGTTTTCTTGTTATATGGTAGTGATGCAGTGCACTTCATAAGTAAAAAGCTTTTTTGATGTAAACGATAATAATCTTGCATCTCATAGCAAATGATAATAAACAAGAAATTTAATAAAAAAAGTAAAACAGTTCAATACTCAAAATAACTCTTGAATAAAATACTTACCTTAACTGTGATAGACTTTCATTTAGATAGAAATGCTCTTCAACAATGCTGCTGACATGACCAGGTTTACATTGTAGATATTTCTAAACAAACAAATAAAGAAGAAATCAAAATAAAAAAAAACAACTAAATTTTATTTATAAATTTTTTTTGTCAAAAAATGATCTTCAATCCTCACACTAACCTAATTTTTAACTTTATAAGAAGGTTATATGAAATGAAGTGCTCCGCAGTCAGAACATCGATCAAAAAAGTAGAAAAAAAATATATATATATAATAACTGTTGCTGTACTTTTAAGTAAATTATTTAAAATTATTATTTTTCTGTAAGTTCAAAAGAAATTTAAAAAAAAGAGCAAAATTTTTAAATAAAATTTAAAAAAAAAAATTTTGAAAGCTGATTGAATTTTTTCAATTTAATTTATTATTAGGACTTTTATTATTTTAGAAAAAATCAGTTTCTAGAATTTAACATTAAAAAAAAAATTTGTTTCATCATATAAAAAAACTGTCTAGTTAACAGTTAGCAACTTGAAACCTAAAGTGTACAAAATAAATTAGAATGCTCCACACTTTAGTATGCAGGGATAAGGTTACATGCATACATACATAATATATATAAATATTATCACTTGGAGGGGACATTTGAGCTTGAAAAGGATTTCACTACTGCTGCATCATGGGCTCTAAGTCGCAGGTGAATTTTAACTCAAATTTTTCAACTAATCATTATCAC